GGAGAGACACATCCATGTGAGAGAGACACATCAGTTGGTTGCCTCCCACACGTGCCCCAACCAGAGCCTGGGATCGAGCCTGCAACCGAGGGCGTGCCCTTGTCTGGAACTGAACCCGAGACCCTTCAGCCCATGGACCAGCTCTCTAACCACTGAGCCAAGCCAGCCAGGGCAGAACCTCATTTTATAACCAATATCCTACCAATTTATGTGGAATAAACCCTAGGTGTTTGAAGCAGTCAGTGGAAGAGAGGTTAAAACAACATTCCAAGGAAAGGAGAGGAAATGATGTAGACCTAGGAAAAGAGGAGGAAAGAGGTATTCCTGGTAGACCCAACAGCAGGTGAAAAGGAACAAAGGTGAAGAACACGGAGTGTGCTGAGGTGGTCAGAGAGTGAGTATGAAAGGGCAGATAGCGTGAGCTTCAACTTCTGAACTCTTTGGAATGACAGTTAAAGGAGGCACTAGACAGTCCTGGCCTGTGTGGTTCAGTTGGTTGAGCCTTGTCCTGTGCAATGAAAGGTCACCAGTTCAGTTCCAGGTCAGGGCACATGCCCAGGTTTCCAGGCTTGATCCCCAGTAGGGGGCATGCAGGAGGCAGCTGATTGATGTTTCTCTCTCTCTCCCCCTCTCGTTTTTCTCTCTTAAATCAGTAAAAACATACTTAAAGAACAAACAACAAAAAAGGAGGCACTAGGCATCTTGAGGTAAGATATATATATATACATATACATATGCATATGCATGTGCATGTACACATACACATACACATATATATGATATCCCTGATGGAGAGACAGGGAAGCATGAAACCAATTAGGAAGCTGGATTATTATTGCCAAAATGGTAATGACCACACCAGATCACTGGAACCATTGTTGATTCAATAAAGCCCGATAGAAGACTCCCTACACAGCCTGAAAAAAATCCATGGGGCTTTGGAATTAGACCTTATTCTGCCTAAATTGACAAATCTCTGAACTTCAGATTATTTCCTTCTAATTTCATCAGTCCTTCTAAGGCCTGGCTTTGACCCCCTATTCAGATTAGGAAGACACATTACTCCCCACTCACCTTTAGGACCATGGACAGCCTCATGCTTCAAAATGAGTCTTCAGAACCTCCTAGAAGCCTTGAGTTCCAGTGGGTGGTAGAAGTGGTGTGAGGATGAAGTTCAGAGGTGACAGGGTCAAAAACTTGAGAGGCTAGAATGAGAGTTTATTTAGAAGTTAAAATATTAATGTCAGAACTGGAAATATCACAGCTCATTGGCTCAAACTCCTAACACAGCGACCTCCTCCCCAAATTCCTGATTGTGGTCAGATGGCCTTTTTTTGAGTGCTGTAACAAAATTCCAACATCTCAGGAGGTACCTGTTCCGTGGACATCTTCAAGACTGAGAAATTTCTCCTTTATCCTGGGGTTTCCTTGTGAAGCCACAAACAACAGTCCTTTGTCCAGGCCACACCTAGGGAGATGGGCAGACCACCCTCCAGGCCTCTGAAGTTCGCCTTCTCAGTGCTTTCAATCAGGACCCATTAGACTTGGTTTCTACAACCCCTGCTACTTTCCAAATGTTTCAACTGAACTGTGTAGTTGTCATGGTCCACATGGAATGTGGTATACAGCCTTGGAAAATTGTCACATAGAAGCCTAATCAATCCTGAGACTGGATACTGTTGCTTCTGGAAAAGAATGGTAGATATCTTTGGTGCTTATGGGAAACTTCATTCAGAAACCACTAGAGAGACAGATGTAGATGACGAATGATAGGTAGATGATAGATAAATAGATAAGATAGCTAGGTAAATTTAATTAAAGAATATAGCCACTAGGTATAGTGCCAGGTGGGTACTAGGAATATCGGGGAGAACACTATAAAGTATGATTGTCTAACCACTGTGCTGTATGCCTAAAACTAATACAAAATAATATTGAATGTAAACCATAATTAAAAAATAAAAATTTTAAATATAAAATTTTTTTTTTAATTAAAAAAATTTTAAGAATATATCCAGGAAAGTTTTGGGGGGAAAAGCCTTTATTGTATATGATGTTTATACGCTAGGCTGAGTACTGGTCCCTTCATCTTCCTTCATACCACTGGCATTCTGTCTGCTACTGTCTCCATGGTCCTATCTTCTCCCTGGAAGAGAGAAAACAAGAGGCAGAGGAGGAAAAGACAAGAAGCGATATGGGCTCTACTAGCCAAAGTTACCCTTCACTTTGTCTTAAAGTTCAGAGGTCACACATACCACAATGAATTTGTTTCCAGATCAACTACAGTAAAATAAAGGTTCTAGAACATTTCCACATCTCTTATGACCGACCTCATCTTCATGTGTCTCCCTCTACACATGCCACTTTCAAGGGACTATGTCCATGAGTCATAGTGAGATCTCAGCTCAGACCAAAGGCTGTCAGCCCTTAAACCTCTGGTCCTGATAAGACCCCTGTCCTTTCTTCAAACCACTCCCGGCCCTCAAGGTTGTGCTGAGCTCTCTCTGCCTAGAAGGACTGTTGGCAGTATTTCTTCTTAGAGTGAGGTCAATCATGGAGACTCTGGGAGAACTGTCAAAATTCTCTACTTTCTCCATAAATAAATGGAGGTCAATTCCCTGGAAGTAATGGGCATGCCACAAGTTGGTGCAGCTCCAGAGGCACCAGATAACCCAGAGCAGCCCTGCAGCCCCTCCCCTTAGATTCCTCTGAGCCTGCATGGTGTAGACTCAGGAGACTGGGCCAGCCTCAGGCCTTACCTCTCCCAAGAGGAGGCCACATCATATTCTAGGATCTCCTGGCCCAGGAATCTCAGTTGCTGTGTGGAAACCAAAACAGAGGAAGACGCTTCTTAGTGAAAGGGGAAAAGTGCTCTGTTAGCCCTTGAAATTCTCAGAACTTCCTGTAGCAGCTGAAACGCTCGGGATAAGTTCCCTCTTCCAGTCATGACTTTATTAAATGCCTGGGCAAGAAGCAAGGGGCCCAGTGTCCTGCCCGCCGCCCCCACCCTTCAGCTGTCCCCTGGCCTGATGCAGCCCCAGCTCTCCCTCATGGGGCCATGGGCCTGGGCTGGAGGCACAGTGCTGACCTGGCGAAGGCCCGGCCCCTCAGCAGGCCCCCCGCCCACCTCCTGTCCCTTGGAGAACGAGCACACAGCCTGGATCCTGGCCCCAGGGCCTCCTTACCCCGTGGGCTGCTCCTCCTCTTCTTCCTCTCCTTGCTTCCCCTCCTCTTCATCCTTGTGCCCCTCCTCCTCCTCCTCCTTCTCCTGGATGCTCTCTGATTCCACTCTTCTCCTCAGCTGAGCCATGGTGAGATGAAAGACGTGGCAGCTGAAGCCCTCCCTGACCCCGAACTGCACGTGCTCCTTGAGGATCTCCAGGGTGGAGAAGACCCGGCAGCAGGCCATGCACCTGAAGCCAGTCTCCATAGTCACCAGCCAGTCAGGCGTCTTGGCCCTGGGTCTGTCCTCAGCCGCGGGCAGCCCTGGCGGGCAGTCTGGCTCTGCTATTTCCTCATGCTCTTTGGCCTCCCCGCCGGGCTCGCTGTCAGACAGGAGGTTTCTGGTGGACACGGCAGAGGGGGGAGTACCCACCCGCACGTCCGCAGGAAGGTTCACTTCTTCCATCTTCGGCTTCTTTTTCAGTGACTCTGAGATTTCCTCTGACTCCCAGGAGACAGCCACACCCTTTTTCACTTGTACCTGCATGTAGTATATTTTCATGCCCCTTTCCCCTTTGTTTATATACGGAGAGGTGACACAGGTCTTATAGGATGAAGGGTATGACAAGGAGACGTGTGGTAAGAAGGCAGCAGTCTCCTCTTGTTCCTGAACCTGGCCTAGGGTCGCTCTCGGCTGGGGACTGTCTCGATGTAATCTCTGGATTCCTGGGAAAGAGAATTAGAAACGTGAGAACATACATGGGACATGCCGGACACTGAGGGAACAAGCATGAATACGCAGGATACAGGAGGAGGGGCCGTGGTGTGGTGTAGTTGTGGGGTGCGCTTGGTGTTTGGTGCTCATATTGTGGGGAACTGTACCTGGCGTCATCTGCGGTCTTCTCGTGTGTGTGCAGGGATATTGGAGGGGTGTCTGTACACAGAGCTGTGGAGTATGGTAGTGAGGCCTGTGGCATGAGGGATGTTGGGGTGTGTGCCATGAGAGGAAAGTGATGTCATTGCTGTGTTATTTGTGGAATGGGGGCTGTGGTGCAGGAGAATGGCACTGTGGGGCATGTGTTTGGGTTTTGCGTGTTTGCCAAGAATGGGTAAGCGTGGAGAGTGGTGGTATGTGCGAGGTGTGAGGGCCTGGGCTGACGGCCCCGCTCCCATGCTGAAGGTCTGTGCCAAGGAACTCTGTCCTTCTCTGGAAGCAAAGGCAAAGCTTACATGTTCCTCTGAAGGTGCTTAATCTGGTCCCTCTGCCCATACCTCAAGCCAAGAACTTCCTGCCCTTTCTCCCTAACTTCCCCACCATGGTTGCGCCAGGGCTCACACTCTCTCATAGTGGCCTCATATCCAATCTCTCCTACCAGCTCTGCCATCCTCCCCAGGCTCCTCCGCAGAGCCCAAATCACCTCCGATTGCCCTGGGTCTCCTCTGAGGCTCATGCTTGGCTCTATGAGCCTCCTGCTGTGCACCCAAGGAGCCGCACACCCTTACCACCATGGATGAGCTTGTTCGGAGAAGAAACACAGGAGAAGTAGTCGGAGGAAGAGGAGACCTCTCCTACCCCTGGGCCACAGCCTTTGGCCACCGTGATTGATCCAAGCTGAGAGTCATCCTCTTGTGACTTCGAGATTCCTGAGGAAAGTATGAAAGCCTCAGAGATATGGTCGATTGGGCATGTTTATGAATGATTCATCAGTCCAACAAATGTTTACTGAGTGGCTGGCTTTTGTCAGGTGCAGTGAATACACATGGCTTAGACTCTGGTTCTCAGTGGTTACTCCAATATTTAGTTATAATCAACAATTACTTTGTTAGTGTCTTGTTAGGATATAGGCCTGAGTGGTGACTGTGAATACATCAGAAGTGTGAGAGTGGTGTGTATCAGCTAAACCTTTGATAAGTGTGGGATTGGTGTGGTGAGCAGGGCGGAAATGTCTGCATCTATGTTTATGGAGAGTTCCTGTACATGATTTGTGTTCACAGCTCAGGAGTGTGTGACATGTAACCTGATTATATGGTATGGTTTGTATTTATGGTGTATATTCATTCATTCATCTACAGTGTTCAGTGAGCAATTACTAGGTAGCAGGCCCTATTCCACTATTCTAGGCTCCAATGATGCTAAACATCCTAGCAAGGAAGCACCACTAAACAGAAATGCAGGAATTAAGTAATGTGTCAGCTAGTAGTAAGTATATAAGGGTTGCCAGATTTAGCAAACAAAAATACAGGACACCAGTTAAATTTGAACTTCAGATAAAGCATGAATAATTTTCTAGTGTAAATATTCTCATGCAATATTTGGGTTATAATATTTGGGACATACTCATACCAAATAATTATTTGTGGATTATCTGAAATTAGAATTTCACTGGACATTCTGTACTTTATCTGGCAACCCTGACAAGGGTTGGTGAATCTGTTTTTTAGTGGTTTGTGCATAGTGGGCCTGGTATTACTACACAGTGTGTTGTGTGGGTGTGTGTCTGATGTGACTGGTTCTTATAGAAGTATTTAGAGACAGTTGAAAGTAGCTGTGTTTGTATGATAGTTGAGGATATATATCTCCGTAGAGATATATAAACAAGAGTTTTTTGTGGGAAGAGAGGACGATATACACAGGGGCTGTATGTGACCATAATAAAGGAATGAAGTGTATATATACCTACATGCTCTGTGCATTCTTTAATAAAGTTGTATGTGCAATTTTTTTTTCCATCCAGTGTACATGTGTATGTATGAATGGAACACCCTTCATGAGAATTCTGTATATGCTCTTACATGTACTGAGTGTCACCTGGTCCAGGCATGATGATAGGAACCTTACCACACAGATGACACATCCAATGAGCACTCTACCCCTATTCTACTCACAGTTTCCACCACACAGACACAATGACAAAAATATCCTGAAGTGTAAGGGAGAGGGGCAATCATTGCTTTCCCCATCCTGTCCCAACTGCTATGTAAAGATCTGCCTACTGTCCAGGCCTCCATTCCCAGGGCTCATCCTATCATCTTCAGGACCCTGGGCCTCATGGAAGCAGCTGGGCTCCGATGTGGGGCAGAAGCCTGGAGCTGGATCTCTGGAGTGGGCTCCATTCTGTCCCACCTCCTACATGTGCCTGTCCCCTGCTTTCTCAGGGCAGGTTACTAGCTTACATGTAATGCATGCAGTTGCCCCATGGCCTGGGAAGTACATCCATGGCACTCAGAGCTCCCTGCTGGGCCCTGACAACATTTCTCACCCTCACCCATGTGGTCTCAGTCTCTGGAAGGCCCTTCCCTCCCCTTGATTTCAGGGAAGCCCACACTTGTAGATTCACAAACTCCCATGGGTCAACAGGTAAATTCTACCTGCTGAAGGAATAAAATTTCCTGCTTTCAATAGGACGCCATCCCTAGACAAACAATCTCCTTTAGAACAGGCATTTCATGTCTCAAGATATTTTTCAACAAGGCCTTTAACTCATTGGACTTCTCTTTGTTCTTTGGTAAAATGCACAGGGCAACCCATGGATCTCTGGCAGTGGCCTTTACAACCCCCACCCAGTGACCCCAGGGTAAGATCAAGTAAAGAGAACAGAGAGAACGAGGGGACTGAGAAAAGCTGCACCTCTGAGTCTGTGCAAATGAGCCCCAGCCTGCCATGAGTTCGCTGTAGCTCTAGGCCCCAGCAGCCCTAGGACAGCAATGCTCAGGCCAGCAGGGCGGACTTTCCATCTGCCAGGGGCATCTGGCCTCTCTGTGCCATCTCACACCACAGGGACCTTAGGGCAGCATCAGCCAATATGAGATCTCTCCCTCCCTTCATACGTGAACACTTTGTCCTCAGGCCCAGCTTCTTAGGGAAGGCCCAGGCTGGCAGCCACCCTTGTGCCTCAGACAAGTTGCCCAGCACATACCTCCTCCCTGCTCGCCAGTTTCCTGGGACTCATTATTTTCCAGATGTTTCCTCTTTTCTCGCTGTTTCATAGTACCAGCTAGAAGAGTCCCTTAGAAGATGCCTAGCAACCAGTTCCTCTTTCTCCCTACAGGCTGACCCTTCTTGGCTCTCAGGAAGTCCATTGAAATGATTTGTTACAAATAAAAATAGCTGAGTCTCCTAAATGGCTGAAGAACTCAGACCCCTCAGAGAACCTGCAGCACCGCCCAGTGCTCACTACAGCGCAGGCTGTTAAGGTTCAAAGGTTGCCAGGCCCACAGCAGAATTCTCTGGCCTCATGATGACATCAGAGCATTCCGTGGACTGAGGTCCAACAGGCTCTGCCACTGCACAGACCCCATTTTCAGGAACAATTCCTTTTTTCCCAATGGAACCTCTCCCATGAATTCAACTCTTGCATCTTTCCAATGTGGCAGGATATTGAGATGTTAATCTGCTCCTGATTCATTTTCTTTCTTTCCTCCCTTTATTTCACCCTTTCCCTTCTGTATTCAAGGGGGTAGCAGAGGAGGGGCACGGCAAAGCTGAAAGCAGGAATAGCATGCTGATAATCTTTGCCTTTGTCTCTAAAATCCCAAACCCCATAGAAAGAGAGGATGCTTGAGCAGAAACAGAACACAAGCAGGATTTTTGAAATTAGCTATTCCCTTCTTACCCTACTAGTATTGAGAAGTTCTGATTAAGCCAGAGAGAAATGTGTAGGGATCATGGAGAAGAGTGGCTGGAGGGGTAGATGTGGCAAAAACTCTAAGAGGAGATGGCAGTACTGTGCATACAGGCAGAATCTTGGCAACCTGTCCCACGCACAGCACGGGGGCCACCAAACACAAAGGAGGCATGGCAACCAAGCTGATGGGCATCAAAACTACAACTGTGTGCTCCACTAAGCAGTGACCATGCTCTCATCCCCACCCCCAAGGCCGGGGCCCTGTGTGATTTCCAAACAGGAATGAGTGGAAATGCAAGCAAGACACCTGCAGGGTTCAAGGGTTAACATACAAACCAAGTGGAGTTATAAAAAAAAAGTCATCCTGTTTGTTGCTCAGTCTTCTTGTGGGCTGAAGTTTATACCAGTTACAAGTGGGACCCACCTGGATCCTCCTGATTCCAATCTAAAATCAGAGACACCTCATTCTGAGAAAGTGGCCATGATCCAATGGGAGGACCGGTGTTCAGGGATGAGGTGAACTCCCAGAAGTCACTGCTAACGTTAGAAATACCCAGTGGACCACGGTGGGTCCAAATCCAAAAGGGCGCCACAGAAGGTCTGAACGTCTCAGGCAGAGGGAAGTGAAGAGAGGGCAAATGTAGCCTCATGAGGATTCACAGGTGAGGTCAACCTTCCAGTTTCTTTTTTTATATATATATATATATATTTTTTTTTTTTTTTTATTGATTTCAAAGAGAGGAAAGGAGAGGGAGAGAGATAGAAACATCAATGATGAGAGAGTCATTGATCAGCTGCCTCCTGCAGGGATAGATNATATTTTTTTTTTTTATTGATTTCAAAGAGAGGAAAGGAGAGGGAGAGAGATAGAAACAATGAGAGAGTCATTGATCAGCTGCCTCCTGCAGGGATAGATCCCGCAACCTGGGCATGTGACCTGACCAGGAATCGAACCTCGATCTCCTGGATCCTGGGTGGACACTCAACCCCTGAGCCACGCCCGGCCGGGCTAACCTTCCAGTTTCTTGAAGAATCCCTGGAAAAGAAGTGGCAAGGAAGATTTTTAAAAACCTTTTACGATAGAAAATTTCAAACACAAAGTAAAGAGAATTATATAATGGGATTGCAGCTTCATGAACCCATTACCTATGTTCAACAATTGTCAATATTCTGTCATTCTTGTTCTGTTACATACACACACATGCACATGCACACTTTTAGCTTTTTGTTCATTGCTTTTAGTTTAGGTGTTTTGAAGGGTGGGAATTTTGAAGCAAATCTTAGACCTTATATCATTTCTCCTAAGTGCAGCAGTATTTATTTTCAATAGACAAAAAGGTGCTGTGTTTTGTTTTTAACATAACAGCAATATTATCTTACCCAACAAATTTAACCATGATTCCTTCATAGCACTTAATAACCAAGCCATACACAATTTCCTCCAACTGTATTAACATGTCTTTTTTTACACCTAGTTCATTGATTTCAAGATCTAAACAAGGTCCATATGTTGTAATTGGTTGATGTATATTTTAGTCTAGAACAGTCCCCCTGCCTCTTTTCACCATGTATTTGTTGAAGAAACTAAGTTTTTATCCTGTAGAATTTTGCAGTTTGGAGTTGGTTGACTGTATTCCTGTGATGTCATTTAAGATATTCCCCTATTACCAGTATTTTCTTATAAATATGTAATCAAATCTAGAGAATTTATTATATTTAGATTCAATTTCTTATCATTGCAGTATTCTTCTATAAGGAGTGCTATGTACCTTCCTATTACATCACAACAAGAAGCACATAAAGTTGTCCCATTTTTAATGATGTTAATATTGATCAGTGGTTTGGGTCTGTCAGCTTGATCCCTCCATCACAATGTTCCTTCCCATCAGCCTTTCATCAAATAGCATCAGTAACCCCTGCTGATTATTACTTCATTAGGAGTTGAAATTTCATTAGAAATTCTAATTCTGTCATTCCAAGGCAAATGATTCTCAAGGCATTTTTCTTAGACCATGAATTTCAAAANTCCTTCCCATCAGCCTTTCATCAAATAGCATCAGTAACCCCTGCTGATTATTACTTCATTAGGAGTTGAAATTTCATTAGAAATTCTAATTCTGTCATTCCAAGGCAAATGATTCTCAAGGCATTTTTCTTAGACCGTGAATTTCCAAAAAATAAATAAATAAATAAAAATGAACCTCTCTTCAGAAAATGAAAGAGTCCAGTGACACCAGCTCAGGTTCTCCAAGCTGAGACCCATGGGGTTTATCTCAGCGAGTCCAAGCTAGGACGAGACATGCTTTAGTCTTCCTTCACTTCTTCATTCATCCTTCATTCTGTAAATATTTATTGAGTCCCTACTATGTGCCAGGCTCTCTAGACCTTGTAATTGAAATTTTAAGGACAAAACAGACAAAAATATTTTTCTCTCAAGTAGCTTAATTCTAGAGGAGAAAACAGACTTTTTTTAAAAATAAGTTACATAGGTAGTCGGTTAGATATTGACAAGCGCCTTGCAGAAAAATCAAACAAGGACCTGAATTTGGGACTATAGGAAGTGGGGCCACTTCTATGTTTAATGGGAGGACAGGGAAGTCTTCACTAAAAAGGCCCTGTTTCAGTAAGACCTGGGGCAGTAAGGGATCTTAGAGCCAAAGGTCTGTTTTCTAGGCAAAAAGAGGCTGGAGCCCTGGACCAAGGGTTGCTTGGTCTGTTTGAACATCAGAAGGAAGCCAGTGTGGCCAAAGGCAAGGCAGGGAGGGAGTGGGAGATGAGGCCACGGAGATCGTGAGGGACCATATAGGCTGTTGTCAAGACTCTGGCTTTTACTCCGAGTAACATGGAAAGCTTGGAGAGTTTTGAGTGAAAAAATGACATTTTAAAAGATCAGTCTCATTGCTTTGTTGAGAAAAGACTATTGGGAGGCCAGAGAAGAAGCAGAAAGAACAGTGGGCCTATTGCCATAACCCAAGACAAAAATGATCCATAAGAGGAAAAATAAATAAACCAGACTTCATCCAAATTAATGCCATTTACTATGTCACACATCCTTTTAAGAGTATGGGAAGACGAGCTACAGACTAGGAGAAAATATTTACAAATCATATAGCCAGCAAAGGAATAATATCTGTAAAGAACTCTCAGACTCACCAGTAAAAAAATAAACAATCCCAATTAGAAAATGGTAAAAAAACAAAACAAAAAAACCACACCAAAAACATGGAAATGTTTCACTGAAGAGGATAACAGATGGCAAATAAGCACATGGAATGATGTTTAACATCATTAGTCATTAGGAAAACGCTAATGAAAACCACAATGAGATATCACTATAGACCTATCAGAATGGCTATGGAATTCAGGTTAAGAATTAGTGTGTTTCTCCAAAAGATTATTTCTTAGCACCTGTGCAGGTCTCCATGGAAAGCACAGTAGATAATTCCTCTTGCTCTCCACAGGAGGGCAAGTTAACTGGAGAAAACATTC